ACACTCGCTTAAAAGGGACACTGGTCGAACGCCTTACGCTCTCTCGAGAAGCACGACTACAGCAGCTTCTCGATCGAGAAACCTTGGGTGATAGAAAACCATCGCAATTTCTCCGACATCTCAGAAGCCTTGACAAACACTGTTCCTGACAATATTCTACGAACTAAGTGGCTCAGCAGACTTCCGATGACAACCCAATCTATACTTGCGTCCCAAGCAGACATGAATATCGATAAACTCGCATCTCTTGCAGACAAAATACACGATATCGCATTACCAGCAGCACAAATCAATTCGGTCCAAGAACCAGCAGCAACATCAGCAGTCGAATCGCGCATTTCTCGTCTCGAAGCTTCCATTAATGAGCTAGCTTCCAGTTTTAAGAGACAAGTCATATCTCGTTCCCGTTCTCGTCATCGCTTTCGTTCGCGCACATCTTCTCCAGCACCGAACAACGACACGTGTTGGTATCATCAAAATTTCGGCAATAAAGCGAAACGTTGCCGGTCACCTTGCACATTTCAGGGAAACCTACCGTCGGACCGTTAGTGGCGGTTAACGGCTCCTCACTCGAATCAAACCGCCTCTTCGTAACAGATCGTGCCACCAAATCCAATTTCTGGTGGATACTGGCGCTGAGCTCTGCAGTTTCCCAAGTCTCTCGCACCTTGGTCGCCGGAACAAATCAACTATAATCTCACAGCAGAAATGGGTCTACGATAAACACGTACGGTTTCATAACTCTATCACTAAACCTTGGCCTCAGACGAAATTTTACATGGCGCTTCGTAGTGGCGGACATAACAAAACCTATTATTGCGCAGACTTTTAGCACATTTCGGAATCTTACCCGACCTAAAGAACAACTGCCTTATCGACTCGATCACTGGACTAAAAGTCGCATGTAAATTATCAGCATCCAACATCATTTCGGAATTAAAGTACTGCCCGTCGACCCTATATGGGCAGATACTGTAGTGGAGTTCCCTAATCTGACAAAGCCGGAAGGAATCTGTCAGCCAACGAAACATACGACGCAGCACCACATATCTACTACGCCGGGACCTCCTGTTTCCTAAGGCCCGAAGACTTGTTCCCGACAAACTCAAAATTGCTAAGACAGAGTTCGAAAAAATGTTACAATTAGGAATCGCTCAACGTTCGAAGAGCTCCTGGTCATCTCCGCTCCATCTGGTTCAAAGAAGTCTGGTGAGTGCGACCTTGGGAGATTATCGACGACTTAACCCGTACATTGCCAGACCGATATCCTGTTCGTGTTCTTGAAGATTTTACTGCCAATCTAACTGGCAAAACAATATTTTCAACCATTGATCTCGTGCGCGCTTTTAATCAAATACCTGTCACCAAAGAAGATGTCGACAAAACTGCAATTATAACACCGTTTGGTCTTTTCGAATTTCCGTTCATGACGTTCGGACTTCGGAATGCTGCGCAAACATTCCAACGATTTATCGACGAAGTAACACGGGGATTAGATGACTTTGTATTCCCATACATAGACGACATCCTAATCCGTCTAAGGATGTTACGGAACACGCGAGTCACCTTCGCTCGCTTTTCCAACGGCTCACTAAGTATGGTGTCGTAATTAACACCGCTAAGTGCCGTTTTGGTCTGTCTGAAGTGGATTTTTGGGACACCGCATCTCAGCAACAGGAATCTTACCTCTTCCAGGTAAAGTAGACGCAATCGTTAACTTTCCTCGTCCAACAACGATCCGAAAACTGCGTGAGTTCCTCGGCTGATAAATTTCTATCGTAAATTTCTTAAAAATGCTGCCAAGTTTCAGGCACCCTGACGAGTACACTCAAGGGGTTTCAATAAAAGGTTCTCATCCGGTCCCTGGACACCAGAAGGAGAAGCAGCGTTCGTCCGATGCAAAGAAGAGCTACGCAAAGCAACGATATTAGCATACCCAGACACAACGCTTCCTTGGGCAATATTTACTGATGCCTCGAGTATGCTATCGGCGCCGTTCTCCAACAAGACGTGGACAACACTGGGACCCATTGGCTTTCTTCAGCCAGAAGCTTCAACCCGCTCTGAGGAAACACTGTCCATACGACCGTGAGCTTCACGCTATCTACGCAGCTTTACGAAAATTTCGCTATATTTTCGAAGCACGACATGTCACGATATTCACGGATCAACAACCTTTGCTACATGCTTTTGCTCAGGACGCTGATCGAGCGACACCTTGGCAATTCCACCGCTTGGATTTCATCAGCCAGTTTACAACCGATATCCAGTATATAGCCGGCAAAGACAACATCGTCGCAGATGCTCTTTCCGGCATCGAAGAAATATCAACGGCAGTATCCTCAAACGAACTTTCTCAAGCACAAGCTGAAGACGAGGAACTTCAGCAACGTATACGAAGGGAACAGCACGATTCACTGAACTTACGACCAGTCAACATTCCAGGCTGCAATAAACCAATTTATTGCGACGTTTCTAGCGACCTTATTCGTCCCTACGTTCCTGCAGCGCTTAGGAAGAGAATATTCGACGCTCTTCATAGCATTAGTCACCCCGGAGCACGAGCCTCCGCCAAATTGTTAACGCAACGATACGTTTGGCCCAGCATTAACCGCGATTGCCGTTGTGGGCCCGAACGTGCCTAGCTTGCCAACGAAATAAGGTATCAGCCACGTTTTATCACCAATCCAAACTTTCCATGCCGCACAAGACGTTTCGAACATATTCACGTGGACATCATTGGACCATACGTACCATCAAGAGGATATCGTAACTGTTTGACAATCATTGACCGTTTCACCAGGTTTCCAGAGGCATTTCCTATTGATAATATCGGGGCCGAATGTGTCGCTCGCACACTCTTCGCCGGATGGATATGCGCTACGGAGTACCGTTACGCATCACGACCGACCAGGGTCACAGTTTGAGAGTCAACTTTTAACGCTCTCGCTCGTCTCCTCGGCAGTAAACACATACACACCACCACTTTCCATCCACAGTCAAATGGAATGGTGGAACGTCTTCACCGTCATTTGAAGGATGCGATTCGTTGTCACGAAAATAACTCATGGGTCGACATGCTACCAATCGTCCTTCTTGGAATTCGCGCTGCCTGGAAGGAAGATCTTGGCGCAACTCCTGCCGATCTTGTTTATGGAGAGCCAGTTCGTCTACCAGGTGAATTCCTCGCTCCTTGCCACTATCTGGTTTGCCACCATCCAATATGGCAGAACGTTTGAGAACTACTTCGCAGACCTCGCACCTCAACTCTATCGTCCGACATGGTCAGAGGAAAACATTTATTTTTAAAGAACTATCGACATGTTCACACGTTTTTGTTCGTCGCGACGCTCCACACCACGCATTCACTTCACCGTATGAAGGACCTCACCGAGTCATTTCAAGGCATGAGAAACATTTCATCGATCGACTAAAGCCTATCTACCTCCTTCCTGACGATAAGCTCAACGACAGTGAGCAGAACAACGACGATGACAACAACACAACGCTTATTACATCAACTTCACCGGAGTCATCCGAATCTGGGACATCTCGATTTTCGTCGTCATCATACCGCCCACCAGAATCCGATTTCAGCTCACCTACACCGTTACCCAAGAGACGCGTCAGATTCCGCTGAACTACTGATCACCTTTTTAAATTGTCAATGATTTCGATAACGTACTCCGAGAAGGGAAGTACTTGTGGGATGAGCCACAATATAATATTATATATAACAATATAACATGGCAACACCATGTCAGCAAGTCAGCTGATCCTGGCTTACAAGGAACGCTGAAACGAATACGACACAAAACGGAACAGCAAATACATAGTCAACAGTTAGGCTCGAGGACGCCTGCTGTTATTATAAAAGACGATACAACACGATTAACGGCCTCTTCTCCTGCTGGCAGCCACCGCGTGCGCATCGTTCCTGCACATCAATCACCACAAAAAATATAGGTAGATTGTATGCCGTATGTATGTATAAACTGGGCTTCTACAATATATTGCAATAGAAAGAGAGCGCGAAAAAGGAATTGATAATGTGCAGATATTCTCCGTATGCACATATATGGATGTAAATATGTACTTGGTTTTTGAAAATATATAAATATGTCGTTTGTATTTATTTTGTTTCTTTCTTTGTCTTTAAATTTTGTTATATGTTTGTGCCTTTGCTTACTTATTTTAGGCAATCCTGCTTACTGTTTTGTTAAAAATAGGGGTATTGCCGGAAAATATTGCAAGTAAATACTTGAATTCTGTTTTTGTTTTGTGTTTGTGAAATATGTGTGTTTGAAAACACAAAGGTAAGCTTATAGGCATACATCAATTATTACATAAATATATTTGGATTATATATTGTACCAAACTGGTTTTAATGTCAGCGGTATTTTCGATTTTACCGTGATCTATACCAGTTTGGTAATCTTTTTTTATATTAGTATATACCTAAAATAATAAGTGAAATAAATACGCTCACTTTGGTTTTCCTGAAGGGGCTTTTGGAGGGCGTATATCTGTATATACAAGTATATGTGCTTGTGCGTTTGTCCCAGTGTCTGTCCTCTTCGGCATCAGCTGGCTAGCTCCTTATGCGTGTTTGTTGTTTGTATTTTTGTGGATAAATTTGCGCCCGTTTGCTTTGTTTTTATTTATGTTATTGTGTATACTGTGTTTTTAAGTTTCGCGCCCGATTGTGTTGTTTTTTATTTGTTTAAGATGTTTAGCAAATTTTGCACTGTATATTTATGTATTTGTTATTTTCACCGCACTTATTTTCCTCCTTACATATGGTAGGTTTGTGTGTTCCCAATTGTTACTTACTGTCACCTTATTTTTTCGTTCTATTCCGTTTGTGTGTATATACAAGTATTAACGTTTTTGTCACTTTGTAGCACTTTTTTTCACTTAAGTTATATATAGTTATATATATATATATATATATTTTTTTTTTTTAATCCATAGCGCCGCTCACTATGGCTCGAAGGACCATGAATAATTGGGGACCCAATTTATTGGAAAACTTCTCAATATATTTCAAATGTTATATTCCACTCACTATCGCACTGAATATGTTAGGGAAAATCTCCAAGTATTTATATTATTATTTATATGTATTTTCGCATAATTACAATATTATTCAGTAACACAATTATTATAAGCCTGATGTCGAAAAATATCCGGGATTGCTTTGACGAAACGATGTGACGTGTCGGTCCAATCGCCGGTGTATCTGGAAAACGCGGCCGGTGTATCTGATGCCTGCTCTGGTTAGACGCGTGCGGTGGGATGCTGTATCGAAGGATGTTGATGTGGCGCTCAGGCCCATAGACGATAAGAGAATGAAATGGTATGTTGTGTTGTCCTGTGTGGTGTCATCTGGTGTGGGGTGAAATTCCTTGAGTGTTCACAGGTGTGGTGTGTTTCACTAGGGTGCAATCTCTTTATTATCGGCTTATGAGGATAGCGACTCCACGCCTGGCTCAGATGTGGCCAGAATGGGTGCTCCTTTCAAACCTTTGAAGAGGGATCTTGCGAGAGTGAGATTTGTGATTTTCGCTCACTTTTTTGAAGTGAGATTTACAACTTTTACAATAAACTACCCGTATGATGAGCGCTTAGATAGATGCATTATTACAATATTAGATAATAAATCTCGATGATTGTGGTTGAATTATAGATATTTGTGTTTTTAGCACTGGGGTTGTTCAGAACAAACTCTCACATGGTTTTTTGTGCCAATTTGTAAGAGTGTTGGAAGTTTGTGGCTTTGTGGTAGTCGTACGACGTACCGGCCATTATTTGATCGAGTAGTTGTGGCTTTGTAGAAGTCTTTACAATACTGATCTTAGGGTTGTGATTATATGGGGGAGTTCTAACTCCCAAAATTTTATAAATTGTGAATTGAGGTATTCGTTTGAGATTTCCTCAACCTGAGTGGTCATGGTGGTAACTGGTTCGAAACTAGTCCACTTAGGATCCACCAAAATAGTATTTTGTGCCAATAGTTTGTTTGAAATTTTCTCAACACCCTCGAGTATATCTGAGGTATGAGATCGCTGCCTAATAGAATGTCTATTTGAGCGGGGTGTTGCAGTTGGATCTGCTAGCTTTAGGTGTGAAACCTTTTGCAATGCTTTCTATTTATATGATAGCTTGGAAGCATATTTGTTAGTTGCGGTAAGACTATAGCTTCTGCTTGTATATGCTTATCCGCTTGGGGGGAAATTAGGGTAATGAGGCAGATTTTATTTGAGTTTTGGACTACTCTTCCGCCCATTCCCGTAATTTCAAAATTGGCTAGTTTTGTTGGCAGTTGTAGCCTATTTTGAGCCTAGGACGCCT